CAATGGAATACCTTATACCAGTGAACTCTATATTACTCTATAGTCTCTATAATATTATATATTAAAATACATCATCTGAACGTGGGGATATCTTAATTTCTAAACCATGACACTCTAATGCAAAGATTATACTGTTTCGTTGTCATAGACTTGCTGATTGGTTAATGCTGTTTGCTACATTTTAAATACATTGCTTTCATCTGGATTTTATCATACCGATAATTGCGTTTTCTATATATTACCTACTTTTCCTTCGCATTTTTTAAATAATTAATTGGATCAAAAATGGTCTCCATTTTTTTAACTAATTAATCTATTGTTCAATAAACGCTTAGTAATTCTTTAATATGATGTAGTTATTAGATTCAACATGGCAGTCACTTGTGCTATTCTTATAAACACAGAGCTTTAAAAGTATTCGTTTGCTTTCAATTTTTCTGTCGGAGGCCATAATTTTTTATAGTTTAGCATAGGAAAATCGTGCTCCAATTTATTATACCATAGATCTCACATATTATACTTGTAGATCTCACTAATTTAGGTTGCCAAACATTTTATATTAATTACAATTAATCGATATTGTTACGTTCAAGCTCCGATCATATGTGTGGATAAGTTTAGAAAAAGAAGGAATAAGAAGGATGGAGCATGGAAAGACGTTAGAGCAGACGCTTTGTCTTGCATGCATCTGCGGGAAGGGGATGGAGCGAGTCAACGCACCTTTTATAGCTCTGGATCCTGAAGGGACGCTATAACACTTGTTTCCAAGTGAGCAGTGCGAACGTCGGTTCGAATTTCGAGTTAAGGAACTTAATAATCTTATAACTCGGGATCGAACCATACGCGATCTTTGATGAGCGGTGGAAGTCGGTACGAGGTCTTACGATTCTAAAATAAATGGAGATTGAGGGACGTCAGAAATATTTCAGTTTATTGTTAACACTAAATTCTAAATGTATTACAGAAAATTATCATTTAAATTCCTAAGATCTATCTTTATAAAAATATAGGAACACCAAGATGTATGATAACAGAATATTAAACTGCTTACAAACTATTCTTCGCGTTTATAATAATTGGTTTTTATTACTATAATATATACAATACATAATGTTAAAAATGTTTCTTTTGTGTATAGAATGTTAAAATTTACATGTTACTGCAGTCCTTCTTCATTTCGTACAATGCGTTGCTCGTCTTCAGCGAAGTATTATTTTTTTTCAACCGTTCGTACAAGCGAGTATCGCAAGACTAATTGCACCCGCGTAAATTGCGATGTATAAAACTTCTAGAATCGAAGAGGGGGTAACTCTCCCCTCTTTTTCTATGAATTGCGAACATGTCGTAACATGTTTTATCGCGTCTTTCTACATTTTTTAAATTTTATTTTTTATTTTTTTTGTTTGCGAGTTTATCAATCCTTATACTTTATGATTTATATTTCGATGGCATCGATAACGTTGGTGATGAGCACGTTGGCGATTTTGACGCCTTTTCTCCAGGACATTCCCAATATTTCGCTTTTTCCTTCGATGGCGGTGGACTTGGCGGACTTGGCGACAATGGACAGTACCCGTTTCGCTCGATTGCTTTTCGACGTATATATTCTTTTACTCGGTCCATGTCTTAACGCTCATAACTGAAGCTTACGATTTAATGAAAATAGTCATACATAGTATATCATAATCTATACCACTCTTCTGTTTATCTCGCGTTCCCCTCAGGATAGTCTCAATGTACTTTTGACCCAGCGGACCCAAGCTGGCTTGCAACGCCTCTCGACCTTCCGACGTTTGCAACCGATTTTGAATCTTTGTTGCTAGCGAGTCGTCCGTCGTTTCGAAAACGTTATCCAACGATTCTACGTCGGTACGATCATCGTACGCGGAGTGGAGGTTATCGGCTATACATGATCGTGTGATCGATCATCGGATTTATCCGGAGTCGCGGAACGCTGGAACGTCTCATTCTCTTTCTCTCCCTCTTCCTCCTCCTCTTCTTCCTTCCTCTCGCGCTTGGAGGAAGACGCTGCGCCATCGTCGCGCGACTGTCTCTTTATCGCGTGCACACCGGGGCTGTCAATGATTTGTCGCAGTGGTTTGATAATAGGCTTAAAATGTCTGTCCAATGCCATGTCTTCTTCGATTCTATCAGTTTTCAGAGAGCGATGTTTTTTGCGGATCGACTCGCTCGTCTTCTCGATCTCTCTCGCGATTTTTTCATGCTCGCGCACATCAGCCATGTTCGTCTCTGACGAAGTATCAACAACGACCAGTCACGTTAAAGTATCGTGAACTCGTTAAATCCCTTTCTATATTTCCCGTCTTTAAGCGCACTATCCTTATCTATTACTAAAAATCCATTTTTTTTCCAACAATCACGGCACAACATGCAAAATTCGTAGTAGGACATGTCGGTATTCACGTGATCATGGTAAACGTGTTTCAAGTTGGTACAATCCTGTTTGAACAGGATCAGCAGGTTCGCGTTGTTGCGTATCAGATGTTTAAGTATCCTCGCGTACGTCTGACAAAGATAGAAGCAGTCAACATTCGCGTGGCGACCCATCGAAAAGTATTCTCTCACTGCATCCTGCTTGTCGCATGCACGTCATCAAAGATAAAATAGAATTTGGGTGCGCCTCGTTCGGTGGAACGATGTCGCTATTATTGAAAACGTAAAGTAACCGATTTCATCGATAGACGTAAATAAATTTTCGAGATATCGATACTTTGACTGTTGCAGCGATTTCGAGTAGACGTATATGTTCTTGAAACGTACGCCATTTGGACTCTCGAGCAAACTTATGAGAACGTTGGTTTTACCACAATTCGATGGGCCGCAAATGATCGCGCGTATAGTATTCGGCAGGATTTCGCCATGCTTGCGCTTCTTTGCGCTGCCTCCCATCATTTGTGATTTCGCGTCACAGTTTGTGACACGTATCGTTTGCGGTTGCAGCACGAATTTCATGCTTACAATAAAAGCTACGTGCTCTCGAACGATTATTTAAAGGCGCGCGAATCCGCGAATCGTGCAATAGCAAAATGTATCTCGCGCTGTGTCATCCTTCCGATATTCGAGATTTGAGCGCCGAGCAGTTGCAATATATACCGAAAGTCGTACTCTTACGCGTGTATGATGAATACATCGAACACGTCTGGGACAAGCTTCCGGAACATGTGAAGGCAGATTCACAGGTTCGAACTTATCATCGCTGCGACGAACACTACACTCAGCCGTGGCAGTGGACGCATATCGACGGCTCCACACCAAAGATAAAGAACTGTAGCGAATTGGCGTCGCGCGGCGGTCTACTAAATCGAGCGATAAACGAGCTTCCTTTTGAGTTTCATATTCCGGGCTATCAGTTTTGCGGTCCGGGCATTCGGTTTACGAAACGATTAACCAGAGGTGACGCGAGCATAAATCCGTTGGACGCAGCGTGCACGACATTGCGTATTCTCGAAGCAACGATCTCACCGATAGACACACGGCGGACAAGGTACTCGCCGATAAAGCGCTACGACGCGTTGTCGCGAGAGATTCGGCTCTGAACGAGAGAGCCGCCGCAGCTGCCGTCTGGGCAGCGATGAAAGCCAAGACCAAGATTGGCATGGGCATGAAACCGAAAAAGAAGAATAAAAAGACGAATAAAAAGGCAACGAAAAAGCCGATACTTCCGACGGCGAAATGAGACGGTGCGTTACTGTTTCTGCCAATGTTGGGCGCACTCGGGTCCTTGATCGACGGAGCAGCCAGCGTGGCGAAAGCGGTAAACGATAGCAAAGCCGTGCGACGTCAGCTCGAAGAGCTGCAACGTCACGATCGCACGATGGAACAGGATCGCGGACTGTATCTCGGTCCATACAACGTGGACAGAACGTAACTGCAAAGAAAAAAAAACGTCAAAAATGCTGTCTGGCGCAACTATCAATGTACAATTGAACGAGCTCGTGAGACGTATGCGTGTACCATACTTTAGAGGCGTTTTCATGCGTAACAC